ATCCAATCCTTGTATTACCCAGGCCAAAATTCTTATTGTATAATCTCATCATCTTTGTTTTTAAATTTAGCAAACACCCACATATTAGAGATTCTTACCAATTTGCAAAGCTTTTGTATTCAAAGGAGATTTGTGAGTAAGAAGTGTGGAATCCTCTTTAGAGTTTTGTTGTGAGATTGGGTAGAATCTTACAAAAAGGTAGAGGTTACTATCTTGAATCTTGAAAAGATAGAGCTTGTAACTTGTAAAATAACTATTTGCTAGTGGATATAAAGCTTGACTAGGAAAGTTAAGGGAGAAGACGTAATCACCTTGTTGGAGAAAGGTCAAACTTCTATATACAATTGTGTTTGATTTTCTTTCCCTACTCTTTTATTGCTTAGTATCACATATTCCACTTGCATTATCAATTTCATAGTATTCAATTTTATGTTTGTTTAAAATTTTAATAATCCAATACCCCATGTTTGATTACTTTACATATTTAAGCTAACATTAAGAATTTTGAAAAATATTTTTTTTTGTATTTCTAATAAAGACCACATTTTTATCTTAAAAACTTTGTTTTTATTGAATTTGAAAAATAAACTTTTAATTTTCAACAAAAAATACATTTTTATCTTAAAAATACTGTTTTTGTTGAATTATGAAGATTAAATAAAAAGCAACATATAAAATTGCTACGTTTCTAAGGTAAATAATGTTATCTATACATTTTGAAAATGTAATTAAGTGTAAAAATTTCACTTCCTTCCAAAAACTTAAAAAACCTCAAGAAGAATTTTTTATTCCTTTACTTTTTTCCTTTTTGATATTACTGTAAATATAAAACTATTGATATGAGGAAAAAATTTTCAACCAAACTAAAAAAATCATATAACAAAAAATTATATTCCAAAAAAATAACTACAAAAAAAGTGATCCCAATTAGTTAATCCAAAAAAATAATTACCAAAAAAAGTGATCCCAACCAAATGTCCCTAAGATTTAATAGCAAAATCCTTAATACGATTGCTAAGGGTTCAACCTAAGCCTTCGACCAAACTAAAGAATGAGATAACGAAAAATTAAATTTTGAAAAAACTAATTACAAGGAAAGTGATCTACCCAAACACTTCTAAGGTAGAGTTTGATGTTTTTCATAAAACAATCATGGTAATGTAATTACCATGGCGATCTTATTACCAAGATGATTTTAACACTTGCAATTTAAAATCATTTTATTTGGTTAACAATGATTAATTCTTATAAATTAATAATTAATATATTTAGTATTACTAAAAACCAAATATTATTATGTTTAAAGGTATCAAAATAACAATGCATATTATAATAGTTACACAAATTAATAATTTAAAAGTTGTTTAAAAATAATAATTTGTAAAATATTAATAATATTTATTTTATAACAAAATATAATTAAATTATTAAATTAATAAATATATTTATGGATAGATAAATTAATTTTTATAATATTAATTATGTAAAAAAATTTTGAATTAAAAAAATCAATCTATTAAATTCATAATAAAATAAAAACAAAAATATTATATTATATATAAAATTTTAAAAAAATTTTAAAAAAATACACAAACTATTTTGAACTTGTTAGAATGAAATTAATTTTAAAAGATAAAATTTTATAATGTAAACTAATTATAATTTTAAAATGTAGTAAATTTTTAAAATGGATAAAATTATTTGTTATTAATTTTATACGTCATTAATTATTGTTAATTTTATATATTGCTTTATTTCGATTATAAATTTTTTTTACCATTTTGTATGAAAATTATATAACATTCAAAAATAATGATTTGATCACTCTCAGTGATAAAATATCATTGTCACGAGAGTAATAAAAGATCACAATCATGTAAGATAAAATATTACAGTCACGTTAAATCATTGAATGCATATGAAACAAGTAATTTGTTAGCTTTATAAATGAGATGGTGAGCCAAGAGGGGTTGAATTGGATTTCTCCAAGCTATTCCTAAACAATGATTTCAAAGTAATTAAATGAAAAATTAAAAACAATATCAAAATATGATGCAAATAACAATAAATTGATAATCTTAAACCAAATGTAAGGTAAAGAGATAGGGATAGAGAAATCAAATACAAGAATTTATAGAGGTTCGATTTTTCTCTACAAGGCACCTACGTCCTCTCTTCTTGGTTGTTTATACTAAGGCTTCAATCCACTAATCTTGAATTGAAATTACAACCTTATCTTTTTCTCTCTAAGGCTTAAGATAAAAACCTTACATACTTTAATTTTTAGGCTAAATAGCAACTTTTAATTCCATAAATTTAAGAGGATACCTCACCTCTTGATTACAAAAAACTTAATGAAAATGCAAACTTAGAACACCTCTCAAAGGCTAAATGCTTGCTTAATGAAGTACAAAGAAATTTGATGAATGAATCAACAACAATGATTTGGATACAAAAATATAGACTTTAAAGCTCTAAAACTCTTGATTTTTTTAAGAAAATGAATATATGACTTTTTTTATCTTGCTCTCTTAATTCATCAACCTTTTTATCGTATTGGAATGGCCAATATATAAAGAAATTGAAGAGCTCGCCATTGGGGATGCTTGGGAGAAGAAAATAGTTGTTGAAAGCTTGAGAAACTAGCCATTGTGCACATCCTGGGCATGACCCGATCAATCCCTTCCATGAGGGATGATTAGTTCATGTTTTATGCCATTTACGCCTTACAAATAACACTACCTAATCGATCCCTTTATGTAGGGGATCGATTGGCTCAAGAGGGTGATCGATCCTCTATATAGGGTGATTGATCCTTTCTTGCCTTTTTAACATAAAAGTTGCTTCTGTAAAAAAATCAATCAATCCATTCCCTAAGGGGATCGATCATGTCCATGGCTGTGTGGTTATATTTTATTTTACACTCTAATCACTAATTTGATCATATCTTGAGTTATACAAATCCAAATCACAAATTGTTTGAAGATTTAGAAACTAGACTTAAAGGGCTTTTTATCAATATAAAATTCATCACCTAATTCATTGTATACAAATTATAGTAAATTTTCAAATCTACCCCTTATGCAGTTTTTAGACTACTACAAAAAGTCTAAAAAAAATTCAAAATCTTTTCTTAGAAAATTTGAATTTTGATTTGTTTAATCTATTAGAAAGTAGACTCAAAGAGCTTTCCAACCATATAAAATTTAAATATTAAAGCTCTGTGAATTAATACAAAAAAATAAAACAAGTTCAATGTTGAAAAATTTGTTCTTGTAAAACAACTTTATTAAGTTAATCTATTTCTCAAAACCAATATTATTAAAATTGTATTAAGTCCAAAATGAATAAGTTCACTTTAAAAATAACAATTGGACTTTCATTTAGGCTCAAATAAACAATCTTTAAAAATAAATTTGGTTTAAGAAATATGAAAATAAAGAAATGTTTGTTTCCACTATGAAAAATATATTATTTATTTAGTACCAAAATATAAAATACTAAATAAATCTTTTTTTAAAATTTTGATCAAACTTATTTAGCTTAATGTTTTGTCATTTCAAAATAAGGATTAATTCAAGACTAACATAATTTAATCACTATTATTTTTAAAATGATCATCTCAAACACTATCTAAAGGTTTAATAGCAAATACCTTAAACACTATTTAAGGGTTTATTGGTCATATTTGGTACATAAGATGACAATAGGATAGGATTTAATGATATTATAAATAAGATTAAATTAAATAATATTATCCTATCTTATATTTGATATGTGTAAAAATTAAGATAGAATAATTTATTTATTGATCAAAATTATCTTTTTTCAAATTTTATATAATTTAAATTATTGATGTAATTTTTAAAAGTATAATAAAATATTTAAATTAAAACCCATGGATTAAAAATAATCATTTCTACTTTAAAAATTTTGAATTATCATATACAAAAGGGATAATAATTCTCTTTGTAATTCTATCTCTTTTTAATTAAATACAAATTAAATATAATATAAAATGATTATCATGTTATTCTATCAATCATCTTATACACCAAATATTACTTAAGAGCAAAAACCCACCAAACATGACCTACAAGCAAAAACCTTGAGGTGACTGGTAAGGGTTGAACCCAAGCCCTCAATAGGGCTGCCCCGGCTTCAACTAAGTTAGACTTGATGACTCGAACATAATCGTAATTGGAGCCCTATGCGCCCGGACAATCTCGATTGCAGCCCACTGGAGCCCCAATGCGACCATTAACCAATACAATCGAAGTTGGAGACCCAATGCGACTGAGACATCAAACCATGCAAGAACAAAGTGACCAAAACAGGATCTGGTGGCAGTTGAGTGGTTTGGCCAAAACAGGGTCCGGTGGCAGTTGAGTGGTCTGCCCAAAACAGGGTTTGGTGGCTGTTGAGAGCTCCAATCATGCCACATCCGAGCTTCCCCAACCTTTATTATGTCACAAGCTCGTGGTGGCAAAGAAGTTTGGTGTAACTGGGCCAATAATAATGCTTAGACATGGGAAAAGGTATAGTAATACTGAATGCTTAGACATGAATAATCATGCTTGGACATAAGAAAATGTATAATAATATTGAATGTTACGATGATATACGGTCGCTGTGGATTAATTAGCTCACAAATAATTATATTGTTGATTACTTTAATCAAAGTGCAATTAACCAAAGTTGCAATTTGTTTAGATGACCTAAATAGCTTTCTTAGATAAATGATCCCCTTACTCGTAAAAAGAATGATTCAAACGGCCATCTATCCATTATCAAAATTCCAATTGTAAACAAGAACAAAAAATGGAACTCCCACATTGGCGGTGCCAGTGAGAAGGTATTTTGCTTTTCTTTTTTTTCTTTTTTTATTTAAACACTCAGAATTACCATCACCACAAATTGAAAAAAGAAAGAAATTTAAAAAAAAAAGAAAGAAAAAGCTGGTAGCTATAATCAGATCAGCCGGTTGCAACCATCAATGCTCATGCACCAGGAGCTGCATCTTTTACCTTGCTTTGCAAGTAACCACCATATTCGATAGCACAGTCCTTGACATGGCTGGCGGTGTCATATATCCTGCTCCGCGCATAGTCAACCCTGTCTGAACCTGGTGGGCGCATGCCTCTCAAGTAGCGATACATCCAACATAACCCTGCCACGGCCACGATTCCGATACCGCATGCTGACAAGAACCCGGCTATGGTGGCAAAGAGCAAGGTGCCTACTGGGAACCATATGGGGCTAGAAAGGAGGATCAGTGGCATAAAAAAGATGAAGCCAAGAATGGCGGCGGTGACGGTGATTGAAGCGGAAACGAAGAGGGTTAAAAAACCAAGAACTTGGGTGGAGTTTGGTGCATGAGTTTGGATTTTTTGTAAGAAAGTGGAGGCTGTGGCGGTGGGGTGAGGTCTTGGGGCTCTCTGCTGGTTAGGATTACGCTCAGGCTCAGCCATGCTTGAGAGCTCAAAGGGTGAAGGGAAAGGGGAAGGGGAAGATTTGAGAAAGAGTGTAATTAGTTAATGTGTTAAAAGGTAAGGAGAAAGACTAGGCTTTGGTTACAGGTGTGCTGCGGAAGTTCAGTTTCTGGAGACATGCAAGGGACACACGTGGAGAAGCCATTGAGTTTTAGCAGTCCTAGATATGGGTGCGAGGCCACTGACTTTTTCTTTTTTTGTTAGATTTTGGCTGGTGTCGATTTAACTCAATTACCTACTTTTAGTTGAGAAAAATGTTGTGTTTAGCTGGTCTTGTACAAGGTCCGGCTACTCGCCCAACTCCAAAACTCACTAATTGTTTGAAAGAATTTGGACATTAATTTATATTTGTTAAAAAAGTATAGACTTGAATTTTAAGTTCATTTAAGAGACGGATTTAACTATGAACATAATATTTAAAGCTCAAACTCAATTTAATTTAATAATTATTTATATATATTTTTATTTATAATTATATTATATAAAAATAAATAATTATTAAATAATATATGTTTATACATGAATATCTTATATTTACGTATGCTTAACTCTAGACCTATTTAAGGATCAATTATTTTTCTAAACTTAAAGGTCTATTCAAGCTTTGAAAGGATTTGAATAAAAAATTAAAATTCATTAAATAGATTTTAGTATAATTTTTAGATCCATTTAAAATTTAGGTCTGATTTTAGACAAAAGATTTAAAACCCTAATCTGACTCGGTCCAATTTAAATTCAAATAAATATATATTATTTATATATATGTGAATTATATATAAATTAATTCACATATTTATAAAAAATAAAAAATAAAAATCATATTTTTTATTTTTTATTTTTATATAATTTTTATTTTTAATTTTTACATATATAATTTTTATTTTTAATTTTTATATATATGTGAATTAAATATAATCCTATTAAACTTAATTTAATCACATTTTTTAATTTTTTATTATATAAATTAAGTTTAATGGGTAGGTTTGAATTTTTTTTTTTAATTTGAGTCGGATTTGAAAAATTTTTGAGATTTGAAATCAGATCAAGTTGGGCTTAGACAAGCATATAAACTATTAATAATAAGTATGCACTCGATCTGAATTATTTGGATAAATTGACTGATAAACAAAAAGAAAACCTTAAAAATGGGTCACCTACAAAGTATTCCAAAACACTTAAGTTCTCTATACTTCAGAAGAAAAGGTGATATACCTAGGAGAAAAAGGAAGAAATTAAGAACTCTCATCTTAGTAGGAGATTATAAGTCTAGAGTCCAAATCTTTTCTTTTTCTTTGAATATATATATATATATATATATTTGGAGGATGGGATGAGAGAATAAGGAGGGGAAGTAGGATGATGACTTACACAAACACCAACATAGCTAGCTCATTAAAGCATATTGAATCAAGTTGCACCCTTTTATGAAATTTATATTCTTCACAATAGATCAAAACTAGAACACATAATGCATATGCAACCATAGCAACAGATGCAATTCCAAACCCCGAATATGTAGTCCCATTAGATAATATTGAAGAAGCTCTAAGAAAAACTTAAGTGACTTCATGCATGATAAAAGAAATAGCATTTAATTGAGTATAAGTACAACTTAGGCATCTTACCACCAGCCTATAATGTAGCTTTTGGCCTTTAAGCTGTTAGGAAAAAAAGCCACTAATCAATTAACCATCTAAGCCCCAAAAGTATAGTCAAATGATTAATCAACAACACAAGGAGAACAATTTAATATGGTTCAGCCTAATCGGTCTACATTCATAGATTGAAAAAAGGTAGCCTAGTTGTAGAGAATTACAAATATATCAACAAATCAATTCACTCATAATCAATATCCATAGATCCTCTCATTCTTTTCTAGTCTTATGAAATATTCTTAACTTAAACAAACACATACTCATTTGCACACATTCACTATACCTATATGGACTTTCTCATTCTCCTTTAGTCTACTCAAACATATACACTCATAAAAAACTCTCTCAATTGGTTATAGTCATATGAAGTGTCCAACCCATAGAATATTACAACTGTCTTAAATTTTTTTATCATACCTAACCATATAGAGATTTCACCTATTTATAGGTATACAAATTTGCCTATCAAGAATATCATTCTTTTTAAAATTCTTATTTTGAAAGTTTTTTTATCCATCGAGCAATATCTAACCAATCTCATCTTGAATAAATTTCTATCTAAATCTTTTATAGGATTTGAGTCAATCCCAACACAAGCATAGGATGTGAGTCTATCACCACCACACAAAACTATTTTCCAAGCTCACAAGCATATAAAAAAATCATTTCAACAACACGTAATGATCCATATGTCAAAAAAAATCACCATCTTGATCTTTGTAGCAGCATGTCTAACTATTACCTTACCAGCAAGCACTATCTTCTTATTTATGAAATGATCAATGTTATAACTAAGGGTTGCTTTTACCTCTGATTTAGAGAGTGTTAGTGGTAACTTGGCAATAAAACTATTTGAAAACCTAATTATATTCCCATGCTCATAGAAAGTAGGAATAATTTAATAAAACAAAAAAAAATCACTAATTTTGGAAGTTAAATCTCTAATGTTTTTTAGTGGTGTGGAATGGTATTTTTTTAATTCTTGCTAAATAAAACCTCTACTATATGCATATACTTAAGTGATTTTATCTTTTGAAAATTGAATTGAGATGTCATTAATTCCAGTATTTTTAAGAGCCATGAACCAACTTGCAAAATACGTGACATATGAGCGGGCAAAGGATAATATAAGGGTTAACTCTGTTGCATCTTAGTTCATTCAAACTCTCTTTGCTTAACTTCTAAAAATATTTATCTCCTATCAACTTTTAAACTCAAAATTTATCTGAGTTGTTTTTCATTTACTAAATTTTTCACCTTTATTGGAATTTGTGATCTATTGGCTAAATAACTTATGTGAGACCAGAGAGATTCTTAATAACTGTTATAAGAAGTAAGGTATATATGACATTGGCTCATGGATTTTAAATTGAAAAAGTATAGACTACTTATGCTATACAATAGATGGATAATATTGTGCACTAGGTATCACTTTAGATTTCACTTTTCTTATTCAAGTTTATTCGTTAAGCTTTTATTGAATAATTTAAACTTCACTTAGTTGTTTCAATTTCGGATTTCTTTGCATGTTTTTGTCATTTATGTTTTTTGTACACCAAGTATAACTATAACTATTTATATTTTTTGTTGTTCATGCTTAAAGGTGAAATATATGTTTATATGCATAAATGTGTATATGTATGTGTAATTAGACACATAAGTGATTAGGTAAGGTATATATATATATATATATATATATGTATGTATCCAATTTCTTATTTAATCATTGCTAGAATGTGGTTTTTTATGGAGATGAGACATATTCTTTTTGCTTTTTTTTTTTGTATTGAATAAAGTAAAGAGATTGTGTTTTGCAAATATTTTTACCTAATTTCCTCTTATGTTTGGTTTTTCTCCCCTCATTGTAGATTGCTCGTTTAATGTTTATCTACCAAAGTTTGACAAATGCATTTTTATCTAAATATCCATGAAAAGCTTGAGATTTTAACTTTTCTATATAACTTTGCATCCATGTTGCATTGTTTGGACCATTTATGTTACTATCATGACAAGTATATATCTTTACCTATTCTTTCATGGTTGAATCCTTGCATTGGCTGCTATGGCATTTCAACCAAGATGGACTTATTCTAAATATTTCATGACCTAAGTTAACAATCTTGTTTCTGGGGTAGTGACCCACAATGTCTACAATAAATATATATATATACACACACTCATATTCCAACTCTTTCTTTGAAGTATTTACATTATAGGTTCAAAAAATGTTACATTTTTATATCTATCCAGATTTGAATAATATCATAAATACCAATAAGCTAATATCTCCCTAAAAATTTAACCATTGTTTAAATAATTAATGCTTACATTTTAAATTTACAATAAATTATGGTTTTATGATGAATAGCAATATGTCATTTTTTTTAGATAAGTTTCACCGCATGGCACAGCCTTAAATCTTTATATAATTGTCATAATGTTTTTAAGGCCACTAGACAAATTTTAAAAAATAAAAAGTTACCACCAATCCTTTTTGGCTAAGTGTGATTGACTATGTATTAAAACTTACATTTTTAATAAAATCTTAAAATTAATTAAAACCTTATTAAAAAGATAATTTTGAAATCTATGAAAATAGTTTGGGTTCAGGAGTGCGGTTATGCATGGGGAAGGATAATACCCCACGGCACCCATCTAAAATAATTGTACCAAATTAATTATGGGTTATCTTTTAATTTTGACAAAAAAACTTTTAATTTTGGTATTTAAAAAAGTTTTCCTTAACTTCCCTTTTTTTGTCATGATTTTGTTTTTTTTTTTAATTTTCGTTGTTTACTTTTTTCACAAAGTTTTATTATTTTATTATTTTTTATTTTTTAAAAAAATTATTATTCCATTTTTATTTTCAAAAGAAAAATAAAAAAATAAATTATAGCCTTGTAATTGAAAAAAACACTTAAAATGTTTTAGTACGTTGGTAATATTGAAAGAATTTTTCTTACTTAGAGATTTCTTAGGAATCATTACTCAAATTTTCTTAAAATTCCATCATTGGAGGCTCACATCTATTTTTTCATAATTCAATGATATAAATCCAATGTAAATAATGAAAAATAATATTCATACATAGATGTGAACACTTTATTTGTATATTTATATTTTATTTTATTTTCATTTATTTATTAATTATCTTTTTTAGAAAATTTTGATTATTAATTTTCCTTTCTTTTATTATTATTATATTTTTTACATTTTTTTATTTTTTTAATAGAAGAAAAAGAAATTTTTTGTATTTAAATTTTTATAAATACTCTAATACGCTTATAGTATTTGTAAAAACCTTTTTCACCTAGAAATTTTATA